GCTTCAAGTAGAAATAGGGAGGAAGAGTATCCCAGGGAGACAGCTGTCAATGAAGCCAGATTTAAAGTTAGGTAGTCAGTGTAGTTAGGTAAATCGGGTCTAATACCGAGTGAAATCTAAAGTGGAGGCCATGCTGAGAATGATTCTGGAAACCAGGACAACTCATGGAATGTTAATAAAGTCCGAAAAGGCCCTACGCCAAAGTCCACCTCAAAGAAGTGTTAGTGAACAGCCCCCAGCAAACTTGAAGGTGCTGACTCAGAAGTCCTTCCTGCCCAGATTACTTCTTTGGCCCACCTGTGTCCCACCCCTCGGGCCTTCCCACCTACATTCCATCACCGAAAGAAACTATAAAATGGAGAGACGGATTCCACCTCTTGGGTCCCCTTCTTCCTCCGGGAGAAGTCTTTTCTGCTGTCCTTTAATAAACTTCTAATTTCTACTCTGACCTTGCCTCGGCATGTGCTTTTCTGGTGTTATTCTTCAACATTGGGGAAGCAAGGACTCGTCACCGGTCAACGGCGGTAACATCGCTTTCACAGTCCTGCCCCTTTGAGACAGCCTTTTCTAGAAAATCTCGCCTGCTCGCTGCTCCTTAACAGGGGTTGCTTGCCTACTCCAACTGTCCGTAACTTTTTTTTTTTTTTCATGTGTTCATGGCTTCCTTTGAGAATCTACTCAAGGCAAAGGTTATATTTTCCCAGAAGTGTGTCCAGAGGACAGGCATAAGGTGTGCTGCACTGATCTCTCTTCTCTCTCTCTTGGCACAAAGGAAAATCTAGAAGATGTTGAGCTCGATTGAGTTGAGTGGGACTGGAAGGCAGGACGTTGCCCTGGACCTCCCTGATGAGGGTAGCGTGGTCCAGCCAAGGGTCACTTGGCAAAAGGCTGACTTCCGGCAGCTGTGGCCTACCAGACATGAAGGATCTGTGATTGTGGTTGCTTCTGCTTTGACCTGAACTTAGAGCCCCTGTGCTTAGAGGAAATACCCAAACAGCAGCATGCTGGGGGGCCGGGGGTGCTGGAGGGCAGGAGTGGTGTTGGGAGGAAATGGTCAGCCCACAGTAGCTGCTGCTGCTGTATGGCCTTAGCTCAGGAGGAAGGCTGGCTGAGAGTTCTTCAAGCAAGGCTGTCCTGACCAGGTCGAGGCCCTGTCAAAACCCTTCAGTGGCCCCCAGGCCCTCCTGGCAGGATCTTAGTAGGGCCCCTAAAGCGGAAGCCAGCCCACCTTTCAGCCTGCTTTGGGTAGGCACACCCTGCCTGCCTGGCTGCTCCACCCTCTCCAGTTTCCCCAGAAACTGGAGCTCCAGGTTCCCCTGTGTGACTTTGCAGATGCTGTTTCTTCTGCTGAGCATACTTCCCCTCTGCCTCTTCACAAGTAGTTCCTAGATGTCCTTTCAAAACTTGGCTCCAGCCAGGCATGGTGGCCTACGCCTATAATCCCAGTGGCTCAGGAGGCTGAGGCAGGAGGCTTGCAAGTTGAAAGGCAGCCTCAGTAACTGAGCGAGGCCCTAAGCAACTCAGTGAGACCCTGTCTCTAAATAAAACACAAAAAAGGGCTGGGGATGTGACTCCATTTCTCCTCTTTGAAGTCCATTCTAGGCCCAGGGCCATCTGTACCCACCCCTGCAATTTACACCTTTCCTCTCTCCCTTTCCCCTCCCTCCCTGCCATTTCCCATCAACTGTGGGTTATTGAACACCCACCTGTTCTGATCACACAGGGAAGCTGGGGACACAATGATGAGCAAAAGCACTTGGAACTTGGACCCAAAGAGTGGGGTGGCCACATAAGGCATCAGATGGGGCGGGGTGTGGCTCAGTGGTGGAGTGCTTGCCTGGCAGGCCTGAGGCTCTGGGAGGGTTCAATCCCCAGCTCCTGCACCCAGTCAGTAAATTGAAGGACACACAAGAATGGTGGGTGGGGTTTTTTCCTTAAAACAGTTAACCTGGGGATAAAAGATACCATGACTTCAAAAAAATGTTGGAAAAAAAGGATACGTTGAAAATTCTAGTCTCAGATCTGTTGCTAGTTCAGTAAAGCCTCAGGGTTCAGGGACTTTCTCAAACTCAGTTTCTTCATCTATAAATATTAGGGAGAGGAAGTAATTTATTCTGGCTCTGAGCACCTTCCATAAGCAAAGCCCTTGGGCTACGAGGATTGCTGAGTCCTGCCATCTGGGGGATAGGGCCAAGAGGGGAGCAGTGTGAAGTCTGTACCCCAGCTTTGCTTGTGTAGGGCAAGCACCTCCCTCGAGGAGGATGGGGGCGCTCCTCATCTGCAGCTGTCCCCCAGCACTCCTCACTGGTTGGAATTATGTAACTGCCTCACTGTTCATTACCGGCTCTCTTACTGGACCATAGGCTGCATGAGCGTGGGTGGTGTGTCTGTCTTGTCTTTTTTAATAACAGCTTCCTTGGGACAGAATCATTCACTTCCCATAAAATTCGCCCTTTAACGTGTGCAGTTCAGTTGTTAGTATATTCGCAGAGTGATACAGTCATCTCCATTGTCCAATTTCAGAGCTGTTTCCTCACTTGGCAGAGGAATCCCACCCCCCACGAACAACTCCCCCCTGGCTCCTGGCACCCGCTCATCTACATTCTGTTTGTATGGACTGACCCTTCTGAACGTTTTTCATAAATCGAGTCATATAATAGGTGGCCTTCGATGACTAGCTTCTGCCCCAGGTTTATTCCTGTGTGACCTGTGTCACATGTAGCCGTCCATTGCACAGCTATACCAGACACTTTGGTGAATCCATTTGTTAATCAGTTGATGGACATTTGGGTTGGTCCCACTTGGGGGCTGACATGAATAATGCCACTGTGAACATTCGTGTCCAAGTCTGTTCGGCCGTGGGTTTTCCTTTCTCTTACGTATAAAGCAAGGACTGGAATTGCTGGGTCATGTGATAACTCTGTATCTAATATTTCAAGGACCTGCCAAACTCTTCCCACAGTGGCTACACTACTTTGCTTTCCCACCAGTGGGGGTTCCTATTAGCTCATATCCTCACCAGCACTTCTTTGAGTTGCAATTTTTTTTTTTTTTAAATCACCATCCCAGGGGGTGTGAGGTAGTATCTTATTTTGGAGTTGCTTTCCAATTGGAATTGCTGGGTCATGTGATAACTCTGTATCTAATATTTCAAGGACCTGCCAAACTCTTCCCACAGTGGCTACACTACTTTGCTTTCCCACCAGTGGGGGTTCCTATTAGCTCATATCCTCACCAGCACTTCTTTGAGTTGCAATTTTTTTTTTTTTTAAATCACCATCCCAGGGGGTGTGAGGTAGTATCTTATTTTGGAGTTGCTTTCCAATTTCCCTAACGATAAGTAATGTTGAATATTTTTGTATGTATTTCCTTTTTCTTTTTCTTTTTTAATTTTTTTTTTAGTTGTAGATGGATACAATATCTTTATTCATTTATTTTTATGTGGTGCTGAGGATCGAACCCAGGGCTTCACACATGGGAGGCAGGCGCTCTACCCCTGAGCTACAGCCCCAGCCCCTGTCTTCCTTTTTTTTTTTTTTGCAGCACTGTGGAACCCAGGGACTTGCACGAGCTAGGCAAGTGCTGTACCACTGAATCCCATCCCCAGCCCTAGGTTTTTAATTTTGAAATCTGACTTATGTATTTTTCTCTTGTGGCTTCAGTTTGGGCTATCATATATCACAAAGATTTCCTCCCATTTTCCTCGAGGAATTTTATAGTTTAGATCCTACATTTAGGTATGTGTGTGCCTTATGCCAGATGCAGTGCCTAGAATAATGCCTCGCATTTGGAAGGCACTGCATACAGACTGAGGAAAATGAATGCATCTGTGTGGAATGGATGGACACACCCCTCTTTCTAGTCCTCATCTTTGGTTAATTGAGTAAAGGATTGAGAGAGGCATTATACAGTGCTGGGGGTTAGCTCAGTGGTAGAGCACTTACCCAGCATGTGCAAGACCTGGATTCCATCCCCAGCACCACGGGAGAAAGGGAGGAAGGAAGGAAGGGGGAGCCGGGTTTGTTTTAATGTCACCCCCCATGAAGCTGCCATTAGTGAGCTCTCATAATCCCTTTCTTGCCAACTTCTTGTTCCATTTTCCTTCCGTTTTGCTTCTCTTTAGTTTTTCTATTGTCAAAATACTGCTAAGACATTTCCTAAACACAAAATCTAACGTACTTGGTTAAATGTTAAATATGGTAGATACACAAAAGTTTTCTTTCTGTGGTATAAATCTTTGTTGCTTTGCTATTTCTTGGGCTGGCTTTCTCTTCTTGTGTTGGACATAAAATTCAGATAACGTGGTGGTGTGCTGATCGCAAAGCAGAAGGCACCTCCCGAGAGCTGGGGTCACAATGTCTGAAACTTACTTTCAGAAAAAAGTGTGTGCATGCAGACAGAGAGAAGGCAGAGCGTCAGCAACCAGTGAATCCGAGTTCAGGGTGCTTGGGAGTTCCTAGTACTATTTCAACAACTCTTCTTGGGTTTTGTTGTCGTGGTTGTTTTCAAAACTCTGCCTCATGATCCTACCCACGGAAGGAGTAAGCTGTGGACCGTGAGAGGTTATTGTGTGCCAAACATCTTGCATATATATATATTTTTTTCATTCAATCCTCAGGGATTAGGGAGGAAGCAAAGAGAAAGGCAGGTGACCACAGTTTTAACGACTTGGCTGAGCAGTGGAACCGAAATCCAGGCATGGGTGTCCGACCACAAGGCTGTCATTCTTTCCTGGCCTGTGTGTCTTGTAGAGCAAAGCCTCCCCCCACCCCTTGGGGAATGACTGGCTTCTGTCATCCTATAGTCCCAGATACCCAACATATCTTTAGGAAGGGCAGGGCAGAGGGACTGTCCAGCCATTCTGGGACAGAAAGGCTGCCTGCCTGAGACCTGAGGCAGAAGGAATAAGGGGACAGAGGGAAGCACCACCCAGGCTGGTCAGCAGCTGGCTCTGAGGTTGATGGGCAGCCTAATCCCCACCTGTCCCACCTGTTCTGCAGGAGCTGAAGCTGCCCACCTTTCGAGCTCACTCCCCACTCCTGAAGAGCCGCCGGTTCTTTGTGGACATCTTGACCCTGCTGAGCAGCCACTGCCAGCTCTGCCCTGCAGCCCGGCACCTGGCCATCTACCTGCTGGACCACTTCACGGACCGCTACAACATCACCACCTCCAAGCAGCTGTACACGGTGGCCATCTCCTGCCTCCTGCTTGCAAGTAAGTGGAACCCGGCCTCTTCCTGTGCCATCTCCTGCCCCTCAGCAAGCCCTGCTGCTTCCACTCCTGTTTCATACTCCAGTGGTCTTCAAGCATCTTCTGGGTTCATCCTTAGCTGGGTGTGAACTATACTAATAATCGTCACTATTTTTAGAGTCTATAATGTTACCAGTGTACCAAACTGATAAGGATTTTTAGCAGCTTGGTCTATTTTTTTTTTTTTTATTGGTACCAGGGGATTGAACTCAGGGTTGCTTAACCACTGAGACATATCCTCAGCCCTTTTTTGTATCTTATTATTTAAAGATAGTATCTCGCTGATTTGCTTAGTGCCTTGCTAAGTTGATGAGGCTGGCTTTGGACTTTCAATCCTCCTGACTCAGCCTCCCAAGTTGCTGGAATTACAGGTATGCATTACCACGCCTGAATTCACACAGTGGCCCTAGAAGACAGATACTCTTACCTACCTCACTTTACCAAGGCCCAGCAATGTTAAGAAACTTGCTTTGGAGCTGGGCGGGCGCAGTGGCACACACCTGTAATCCCAGTGGTTCAGAAGGCTGAGGCAGAAGGATCACGAGTTCAAAGCCAGTCTCAGCAACTTAGCGAGGCCCTGTCTCAAAATAAAACATTAAAAAGGGCTGGGGATGTGGCTCAGTGGTTAAGTACCCCTGGGTTCAATACCCAGTACCAGAAAAGAAACTTGCTTGGGTGCCCCGTAGTACAGGGTAGACAAGATTCAAAGCCAGAACTGCGTGATTTGGAACTGTGTTCTGCATGTTTCCTGTTTCTCAACATGGAGCTCTGAATGCACTGGAAGGGAACCCCAGCAACCACTGTTCTTAGAGGTACTTAAAAATGTGACTGCTTGATCTGGACCTGAGCAGATCTGTTATGTAGTCATCAGGCTTCAGCATGGGCCTCTTGGGATTTGCACTTTCCAACAAGGCCTCACCAAAAACACAGTGTGGCTTTGACCATCTGTCCGCCTCCGGAGGGATTACTATATTAATACACTGCTGCTTTTACAATATTCCAAGAACACAGATCTCCCATGCCACCTGCCACTTAAATCCACCCATGGTTGCCACAAGTCTTAGGATAAGAACAACCCCCTCAGGTTCTGGCCTCTCTGATCTTTCTCCTCCTCACTGCTGGATTCAAGCCAAACTAACCAGTTCCCATTCTGCCACAGAACTTTGCACGCTGTTCCCTCTGCCTGGATTGCTTCTCATTCCCTTTGCCTTCCGGGTCCAGGCCCTGCATCCCTGTGGAAGCCTTTCTCCACTGCCCTGGACAGGTCATGTCTGATTATAAACCCACAGCCTTGGATGCTGTGAATTTTAGCATCCACTGCCCTCTCCAGCCTGTGACTTTTAGAGCTTGGCACATAATAAGACCTCATGGAATCGTTAATGAAATTAATGGCTCCTTCCAAACTGAGAGTCTGCACTTCTTCAGGTTGCCCTTAATGCAAAGCAGTGGTGTCCCCTAAAGACCTTGGGTTCTAAGTAGACAGCTGCAATTCAGATGGCTTTTGGGTTGTTGTTGGTTTTTTTTTTGTTTTTTGTTTTTTGTTTTTTTTTTTTGTACCAGGGATTAAACCTAGGGCATTTAACCACTGAGCTACATCCCCAGCCATTTTTATATTTTATTTAGAGACAGGGTCTTAGCTGAATTGTTTAGACCCTCATTAAGTTGCTGAAGCTGGCTTTGAACTCTCCATCCTCCTGCCTCAGCCTGGGATTATAGGCGTGTGCCACTGTGCCTGGCTCAGGATGTTTGTTTGTCATTGCATAGTTTATCCTTAAAATTCAACCAGGTATTGCGTTCTCCTCTGTGATGTATCATTGTCCTATTTTATTGCACGTTTTCCAGTTGATACCCAGGAGGACCACACCCGTTCTCTTCTGTGCCTTTGTCTGTTCCTGGCACACTGCCATAGACCCCCACGGGCACCATCACCCAGTTGGAGAAGTACAGCTTTAGAGTGTTCCAGTCCTGTCTTGTTTTCCTCTCTGGGACCTTCTACCTGAGGCTAATTTTAATTCCTTTGGCTGCTTTAGGTTTAACATCCCCAAATTTGTAATTTTTCTTTCCCAGCCAGTCTTGCTGGGAGTCCAGCTTGTTTGCTACTTAAAAGTCCCAAATCAGCATGCCAGTGTCCTTTCTCCTTGGGAAGAGATGCAGGGCTTGCAAGACACCCTTGTCAGTCAGCAGAGGGCCGAATGGGCATTGCATTTCAGTTGGTGCAAGGAAAATCTGCACGGTGGCCTTTGGCCTGTTGCTGTCTGTGATCTGAGGTCTGCTGGGGGCAGGGACTTACATTTCCATGGGGGACATACATTTCCCCAGCGGGCTCTCTGGGAGCTGGGACATGAGGAGCACACTGCACACGGGAGACTCCTTTGTGCTGTGCTGTCGCCATGGTGGAGGGAGGTGGCCATTCAGATGGGGAGGCAAACACCCCCACCCACATGTCTGCAGGCGGCAGCCAGCCTGGGTGGGTGGCAGGAACGGATTTTTTTCAGGATACCTGCCATATGCTTCGGAGGCCCCAGGAAAGAAAAGTTTCCATGGCAGCCTGAAATCCTATTCATTCCTCCTGCCCTCGCCAGGAAGACAGCCACAGGGGGGTCACCTTGCCTCAGGAAGTTTAGAGTGGTGCTAATTTGGTCCCACATTATTCTCAAGATAAGAAGAGCTAGATTCTTGCCCCACCTGTTCGTGTTTGTAGAACTGCTTCCAGATAAGGAGGGCCTTTGCATAGAAGGGACTTTCTCACCTGCCCAGAGCCCCTGCAGCCCCCATAAAATGGGGATTAGGCAAGGGCCCAGATCTGCAGGCCTACAGAAGAGGGTGGAAAGGGAGACCTTCCCCAGAGGCCATGTGGCAGAGCCACCCCTTTGTCTCTGAGGTGATGGCATCTCCTACCTGGATAGAATTTTAACATAAATATAGTATAGATATGAACATACCTTGAATCTTCATCTTATACTATTACCCCTCTCCTGTCTTTTTGCTCTTGTAGTTTAAATGAAAGGATAATTTGAGGGCTGGGGGTATAGCTAGTAGGCATAGGCCCTGGGCTCAATCCCCAGCACCCCCAAAAAAGGATAATTTGACAACCTGGACACCCAACGACTTCCTGTGAGTCAGCTTTGACAGTGCACAGTGATAATTGTCATCACAGCTGCACACGACAGAGCCCTCCTGTAATCCCAGCAACTGGGGAAACTGATGCAGGAGGATCACAAGTTCAAGACCAGCCTCGGCCACAGCAAGACCCCCACACACACACCTCTGTCTCAAAATAAAAAAATAAAAAAGGGCTGGGGGTATGGCTCAGGGGTAGAGGGCTGCCTGACATGCCTGAGGCCCTGGTTTCCATCCCCAGCACCAAAAATATAAGTTTTATCACAGCTGCAGCCACCACTTCATCACAAATTGGCCCTTTCTACATGCCCACCTTATGCCAGGCATTTCTGACACACCACACGGAATCGTCCCACCACCCTAGGTGGTCACACTGTCATGCTGAGAGTGCAGAGAGGCTGGGAAACTTGCCTACGGTCATGCAGCTTAGGGGTTTTGCATTTTGCTTTTCAATGAAAGTAAAATTCATACTGTAACGTAAGATTTACCATTTTAACCACTTTAAAGTGTGCAGTTCAGTGGCATTTAGTACACTCACACTGTTAGTTGGTGGCCGTCATTCTGTCTAGTTCCAGATCATCTTCATCATCTGATTAAACAGTCACGCTCTTCCCTCCTCCAGCCCTGGCACCGCGATCTGCTTTCTGTCCCTTTGGGCTCTCCTGTCCTGACTCTTTCACCTGAAGTGGCCTGCAGGGCCGGTTCCCTTCACTTCACATGGTGGTTTCGAGGTTCATCCCTGCCCTGGCATCCGTCGTCACTGTGTTCCTTTGTAGGGCTCAATAATATTCCCCTGTCCGTGCCACAGGTTGCTTACCCAGTCACCCGTTGATGGATATTTGGGTCAGTTTCACCTTTGGGCCATGGTGACTAGTGCTGCTGTAAGCATTCGAATGTCTGGTATATTTGAGCACTTGTCTTTAGTTTTGGGGGGCATACAGCTGACGGTTGGCTTGCAGGTTGTAGGTTAACAACTCTGTATTTACTTCTTGGAGAGAACTTGTAGGTTTGCTTTTGGTGGTTGCTGCTCAGAGGTGACATTGAGTCCTTAGCTCCATCCAGAGCAGTTGCAGGAGGAGGGGTGGCAGGAGAGAAAGCCAGAAAGGCAGGAGTAGCCTTATCCCCTGCGGCAGCATGGCCTTAAATGTAAGACTTAGTCATTGTGACGTAAGATATATGGGGGACACTTTTATTGTAAAAGCTCAAAAGCTGTAGAAGCACCTGGCGTAAGTAAGTAGTTTGCGTCCTGTGCTCAGTCTCACCCCCAGAGTTTGTGTGTGTCCTTGCAGTCATGGTGTGTTTTCACTGAGAAAATAAACCTATCTTTGTCAGGAGGGGGAAATGCCTCATGGATTACACCCTTGTCAATCTCCCAGGGAGTAGAAGTGCCAGATTCCTGCTCCTCTTCCTTTTCCGTTCATCTTTCCCCCACCTCACCCCAGTTCTGTCACTCTGTGCTTTCTCTCATTGTCACCTCTGGACCCACCCCACGCCCTGGGAAAGCGGGATCTGTGATTGCTGAGTCTTTAGCTGTGGGTCTGCAGTCTGTCCAGGCCCTGGCTGATGGCTTCTGGGCTGCGATTCAGTGCCAGATGGGGGTGGCAGATCCATCTGTTCCTCTGGTCAAGTTCAGACTTCCGGATTTAGTGGATGAAGTTGAGTCCTGTTTTGACCTTCATCTCGGCCCTCATCCTCCTCCCCAGGGAAGAGAAGTATCAAGCAGTGGCCTGTGCCAGGAAGGGACCCCTTTCTGGATACGGGCCCTCCTGTAGGGCAGGATCCCTTAGCCTACAGAGCTACAGAATCTGTTCTGCAGCGCTGAGCTAACCTGTGGAAGCCCATCT